ATAGTCCCCTGCAGAGGAAGCTACGAGGCTCACTGTTGGATTCCATCCTATGGTGTTCAGACGCCTCCCTTGGCTCCCCAGTGCCTGCTGGAAAAACCCTAGCACCCTACACGCACACGTCCTCAGGGTGCACGAGGCCACCTTTCCTGTGACCCCACACCCTACATAATACTACGGAAAGGAGTCCCACTTACCTCTAACCCCAAGGTGGCCACCTTGGCAGGGGACAGAGAGACAAGTAGTAACTGGATGCGGTTCTCCTGACTCAGAGGGGGAGGCACAGGTGTGGAGGGAGATAGACACCTGGGGGGCGCATCGCCGAACTGACATCCCAACACCCCAACCTTTACAGAGAGGTAAAGAAACAGACTAGAGGCACACAGCAACCCCCCGGGACACACTCCTCTCCACCCCTCACGTATCATCTATGCATCTGGGTGTTGGAGCCCATGAGTGTGTGTGTGTAGGACTAGCCGTAGTGACTCAGATGCCTGCCTCATCCGGACTCAGTTTCCCCTCAGCTCCTATTCTACATTTGAGCCAGTACTGACAGGGCGCGGCAGGTCGCGCCCCTGCCCTCCGCCCAGGGGAAGACGCACGCTTACTTGCATCTGGGCTAGCTGTGAGGCCCAGGGCCTCCTTCCTCCTCTTGGCTAGACCTGCAATCCAGACTTGGGGTGTCTAGGTCTCCGGGGATCTCAGCAGCACGAGCAAAGGGGGGGGGGTGTTCCGAAGGGACAAAGCCCGATCCGATCCTGGCCTGGCCAGGTGGTGCGGTGCTGCCGCTCCCGGCCCTGGGCGAGACCACCACGAGCAAGCGGGGGAGGATGCGGGATGCAGGTGCTTGGGCCAATGGCGGCGCGGGAAGACGAGCTGGTGCCATGGCAACAGCCAATAGCAATCCGGGGCGGGGACCCGTGGTGACCGCGGGGCGTCGGGCCTCCTTAGGGGCTGATGGGGTGGGGGCACTGGGATTGATAAACCCCTATCAAGGGAAAAGGGGTGCTTTGAAGCCAAAACCCCATGCAAAGAATCAAATTGGTAAATATTATGCCAAAATCTTGGGGGAAGGTTACTACTCAATCCACCACCAGGTGTGGAGATGTCAAGGCAGGAAGGACTTGGGACAAGCAAAGTCAGAGTACCCTGAGGTCCTCAATGACCTGGGACTTGGAAGGCTGGGAGATGGGCAGGCACTCTGGGGCCAGATTGACAATCGCATCTTTCACTGTCCCACCACCTGACAGCACCAGGACCTGTGACAATTCCTCCCCGTGTCTCTCTGTCCCCGTTTCTGTCTCACCCCAGGTCTCTATCTCTGACTTCCTGACGTCCAAAGGGTGCCCTTGGGCGCTAACCGCAGAGCCTGGGCTAGAAAGATGGCTCAGAAGTCTACAGTGTATATTACTCTTCCTGCAAACACAAGTTACGTTCCCAACATCCAGGTCCAGTGGCTGCCAGCTCCCGTGACTGCCCACACCTGTGTCATGTGTGAGTGTGTACACACACACACACACACACACACTGCCCAGGCCTGGTGTCTGACAGTCCCTCTGGCTGCCAGCTCCACTCACACAACGTAAGTGTGGTCAGTGCTGAGAGAGGTGGCTATATGGCCTACTGCGGCATTTTCCCATCTGGGGACACAGACAAACCATAGAACTTCTGCCCCTCTGTGGTGAAGGAATCTCGGGGGGTGCCAGGCAAGGCAGGGGAGCCCCTCACCCTCCAGTATTTCCAAGCAGGAACAGTTAGCAGGGACCCTAAGGGTCCTCCAGCTGGCTGAGCAGTGGTGGCCTCGCTGCTTGGGAGGAGGTGGTAGAGGGGCCCTTGCTGGAGGCGGGGAAGTGGGGAAGACTTTCTTCATGTCTGTCATCCCAGCACCGAGGCTGAGGCAGGAAGATTACTTGGCGTTTGAGGTCAGCCTGTGCTAAGGTGAGACCTCATCTCAAAAATAAAAGGGGTGCGGCGGTGGGGAAGAGACAGAAATCTTTAATAAATAAATAAATAAATAAATAAATAAATTTAAAAAATAAAAGGGGTGAAGCGGCCAGCTTGAATTGAAGTCCAGGCATGGAGGTGTCTGTGGAGCACTGGAGGGGGGTTCGTGGAATTCCCCCCAGGGCGAGCCATCAAGGCCGGGAGAGCTGGGAGGGTCCTCATAACTCAGCTCAGAGTTGAACAGGGTGGGGTGGAGTACAGAACACAGAGCCATTTCTGCCTCCACCTCCCTGGGTGACCTTGGTGTCCAGCCTGGCTTGTGGTCCTTTTATAGAATTAACTGTTCAGTTTCTCCAGAACACCACAGTGTGCCAAGTCCTCTCGGGCAAAGGCTGGGGGAAGGGAGACTTTACACTCCCACATGGAGACACTGAGGCTGTGCTAGGAAGGGCACTATCATACCCAAGCTGCAGCCAGGCCTCTGGAGGGGTTGGGCCTCCTCTTGCCTTCATGGAAGTCTATGGGGACCCCTAGACAGGAACATTCCTCACTCCTTCCTGTCCCGCCCTTGCTGAATGAACCTCTGATGGACTTGGACGCCATGTTACCAGGCACTCTAAAGTCCGAAGAGCTGGAATCCAACCCTCAGCCCCAGTCACCAAGAATCCAAGGCCTGACCTTCATGATGGGGGAGACCTTGCACCTAGTGCCCTGTGCCCAGGCTTCCCAGAGGGCTCAATGCACCCTAGGACCCCGATTTATGACACTGCAGAGGTCACTGGACCTCCAGAGTCTGACGGCTGTCCCCTTGGCATGCAGCCAGACTACATACACCCCCAAGTGGGCTCCCCTGGCTGTGGAGTAGGCACAGGGCAGCTACATGACCACAGCTACCCCTCATTTGAACAGGACTGTGCTGGGTGACAGAGGCAGCAGATGCTGGAGAGCACTGATGGCCCTCGGCTTCCCTGGGAGGGGGCAGGCTGCGGGCACAGCCACTTCCCAGACCCCCGGCGCATAAGCACTTCTGTGGCTCAGTCATATGACCTTGGCCAGCTTGATTGTGCCCCAGTTTCCCCTTCGTGGCAGAAGTGCAATCTTAGGAATGTCAGTCTGTGGACACTGAGCAGGTGGGCCCTAGCTCCGTAGTGTCTACGGGGAAACTGAGGCCTAGCAATGTGCAGGGCGTGGTCGGGCCCCGCATTCTGTGCTGGCTGGACCCTGAGCGCGATGTACCCCAGCTTCAGCCCTCTGTCTCCTAACCACTGGTCTCTAGAGGGGAGGAGGGAGAGGAGAGTGAGGGTCTCTAGCGCTGAGGGATGCTCCAAAAGGAGGTCTGCGCCTGCGCAGGACGGGGGAGGGGTCGCTGCAGCACAGGGGAGAGGAGCCCAGCCGCAAACACATGCTTAGGCGGTTTCCTTGGCAACTATCTCCAGAGCAACTATGAAAGACCCCCGACTCATCAAGCTGCCTTGCTCCAGCCTGGGTGTCTTCACGCTGACCCCAGGGGACGGCTGTTTGCAGTCAGGACCCCACCTGGCTGTACCCACCCACACCCTCGTCCCCGACCAGGACTCCCTGTACCCTACCTGGTCCCCGAAGAAAGCTGAGTGCAGGAGGCTTAGGAGCCCCAAGAGCCCCATGGAGCTGCGGCTGCTGGACAGCGCGGGCCCCGCCCTTGGCCGCAGGGATGGAGGCGGGAGGCAGGGAGTATTGCGCCTGCGCACAGAAGGGGGGCGGGGGTATCACTCCTAAGGGGAGGGGTGACCTGAGACTCTAAAGATGTGAGTGTAAATCAGGGACCCGCTTGCGAGCAGCGAAAAAGTGCATTGATGGGCCTGGAGGAGTCTAAGTATTAGAAACAGTCCAAGGGGTAGTAATGAAAAGAACCGAGATGTGGGGTGAGCTAGAAAGCGCCACCCTGTGGCTGGGACACCCTGCACCCGTGTGTGGACAAAGTCATTCAACATTTGCTGGGTGCCACTCTGAGAGCTGTGGGAGGGGCATGGAGGGACCGGCTGAATGGGGACACTGTCCGAGCTGCTGAGCCCGTCATGTGACATGTGACACGGAACACATACTGCAGCTTGACCCTGTAAAATGGACAAACAGGTCTGAACCCCCGGTCTGTCTACTTAGCAAAAACCGAGCTAAAAGTCCACTGGGTGGTGAAGGCAGAGGCAGGTGGATCGGGGAGTTCGAGGCCAGTCTGCTCTACACAGTTCCTGAATATTCAGGCTAGAGAAACCAACCGTCTCAATAAACAAAAAAGGTAAAAGTCAGGTGGTCAGATGTGGTACACTCGGGAGACCAAGATTGAGGTTTTGTTCCTTTGATCCAGGAGATCCCGAGTGACAGAGAGACCTGGCAGAGGGGCTGGCGCAGACAGAGAAATGGATATGTAAAGTAACGCTGTAAAGACGGGACTGGCCTCTGCCAGGAGCTGAACTGGGAGGCAGTCGAGGCAGCCTGCCTCCAAGGAGGAGGGGCCAGGCTTGGGATGCCCTTCTCCCACACACCCTGGTGTCCCTGCGAGCAGGTAGCTCATGCTGAGGACTCCAGGTGATCCCCAACTCTTCAGCCTTTGTGGGCACTCGCTCATTACAGCACGTGGGCAGCTAGAGTCTCCAGTAAGCTGAGATCACCTGGCTGGCCGCTAAGCCAGCAAGTGCATGCCTTTAACCAGCGCTCAGGAGTCCCTCCACTCACAGCGCCTGTCAGAATCCCATGGGCGGGGAGGCCCAGCCCCGGGGTGTAGGATCTGGTGGTGGCCCAGGACCCTGGAGGCTCCAGGGTCGAGCAGCCAGGCCGCCACTGGCCCTCTGCCACCTCCCACGCCGCTCTCCAGCCGACCCTGCTCTCCCGGCAGCACTCATCTCCGTTCCCGCCCACTCTCTTGTGGTCCCCGCTTCCCCACGCACCCCCAGCCATCCTGCTCACTCTGCAGCTTGTGCTGTGCCCAACAGGGCAGTCCTGAACGCTGGGCAGCTTAGACGAGCCCCGGAACCGGGGAGGACTATGTATGACGCCCCGCCCCCCAGAAGAAAGCGGACTCCGAGGACTGAAGATGAGTTTTTATTGGCCACAGCTACTTGAGGGGGATGAAGCGTGAGGAGTGGGTGGCACCGATGCCAGGCCGGCCGTGCTTCACAGGCTTGTAGGTGATGGAGAACTCGCCCAGGTAGTGGCCAATCATCTCCGGCTGCAGGTGAGCGGAGTGTGAGCGGCCGGGAGGGAGGAGCCGCCCCACCGCTGCCCCGCGCACCCCTCCCGCGCTCACCTTGATCTCCACCTGGTTGAAGGTCTTGCCGTTGTACACGCCCACCATGCTCCCCACCATCTCGGGCAGGATGATCATGTCCCGCAGGTGGGTCTTCACCACCTCGGGCTTCTCCATAGGCGGCGCCTCCTTCTTGGCCTTTCTCAGGCGCTTGAGCAGCGAGTGCTGCTTCCGCCGCAGGCCGCGGTTGAGGCGTCGCCTCTGCCTGGCGCTGTAGAGCTGCATCAGCTGCTCACTGCGGGGAGAAGGGCCGGGGCGGCTCAGGGCCGGCGCTGAGGACCTCCCGGGCGGGAGCTGGGGACCCTCCCCGGGCGCACACCCCACCACAGTGGACCCGAGCGTCGCCCCGGCTGCCGAAGGCACCGCGCCGCGCCGCTTACTAGGACATGTCCAGCAGCTGGTCCAGGTCCACGCCGCGGTAGGTGAACTTGCGGAAGGTCCGCTTCTTCTTCTGCTCCACTTCGGCCTGCATGAGCGCGAGTCGGGGTTAGCGGGCCCCGGAGACCCCGATCAGCACCCCTGAGGCCTGTGACCCCCGTCCCCGGGCGGATGGCGCCCGATACACCAGCGCGGAGAGCGCCGAGCCCGCGTACTCACCATCGTGGCGGCGACTCGGAAAAGGAAGCGATGGCTGCGTCTGCGCAGTTATCGCGAGCTCCGCCAGGAGGCCACGCCCCCAGCCGCACGCCCGCTTCCGCTTTCCGGAGACTCTCCGTCGCCCCCTGCTGTGTGGGGGGCAAAGCGCGCAGCCAGCCCGCGCCAGAGGGATGTGGTTCCATTTGGGGTTTTGTTTTGTTTGTAGTCTATCTGCCGCTCTTTTTTTGTTTTGTTTTGTTTTTGTTTTTTCGAGACAGGGTTTCTCTGTGGTTTTGGTTCCTGTCCTGGAACTAGCTCTTGTAGACCAGGCTGGTCTCGAACTCACAGAGATCCGCCTGCCTCTGCCTCCCGAGTGCTGGGATTAAAGGCGTGCGCCACCATCGCCCGGCTATCTGCCGCTCTTTTCTTTCTTTCCCTCTTTCTGTCTCTCACATGTACAAGTTCTCAAGGAGTCCCGGTGCTCACGGCAATCCTCCTGCTTCCTGCTTGACTTTGTATTTTCATTTATTTGTTTATCTTGCTTTTTCAAGGCAGGGTTTCTCTATGTATCCGCCTGCCTCTGTCTCCAGAATGCTGGGATTAAAGGTGTGCGCCCGGCTTTGTTTTCATTTGTGTGGTGTGTGTGAGAGACTGTGCTGGTCAGAGGACAAGGCAGAGGAACGAGTTCTCTTTCCACCACGTAAATCCCGAGACTTGACTTCAGGTCACCCAGTGGGCCATCTCCCCACCTACTTCTTTTCTGTCTCATGTAGCTCAGGCTGGCCTCAAAGCTGGTATGTATTGAGAATGACCTTTTGTTATGCCCAAATCCGCAGAGTCCCCCCAAAACCAACAAAGAGACCGAGTCCCGTATGTAAAAGCAAAGAGCCTTTATTTTATTTAACTTTGCAAACTCCGTCTCTCCATGTGTCCAGCGTATTGGAATAAACGGAGAGCCCCGAGCTCAGAGTAGGATTTTATAGTAAAGGTGAGGGCGAGGGGTTTCTGAGGTTCAGGACCCCTGATTAGCTGACATTTGTCTGGGGTGTCCTGTTGACTGTGTGCTGGCAGGTGGTCCTATCTACAGCGGTTGGAACATTAGGCTTTTCCTTTGAATGTTCTGCTCTTGGGTGGTGTTCAGGTAATCTGCTTCTGGTTCTTCCTGCGACCAGGTATTTATTGCTTCAGGGTAAACTACTGAGACTCAGGTCTACCTTCCTGCTGATCTATAGAACCCATCTTGGCACGTGTATACCAAGTTGCCTTGGGAAAGCTGCCCTCAGCCCTTCTGGTAGTCCTCTCCCCACCTCTAGAGTGGTCTGTGCCACCATGCCCAGCTACAAAAGGGAGGGCTGTTTTTAGTGTTGTCCCTCAGTCAGGCATGATGGCATGTGCCTTTAACGCCATCATACAGAAGGCAGACAGGACAGCCAGGGCTACAGAAAGACACCTTGTGGGGAGGGGGAACCCCCCTCACTCCATACTAGCAGCCTTCATACTCAGGATCCTCCTAGGCAGATGGAGACACTCTCAGGTGCATACTCTGCGTATTTGACAGAGGGCAGGACTCTGGCTTCTCTCACAACTCCCACATTTAAAGAAAACTTCCAAAGTAAAATACTGGCTTAGTGCACGGCCAGGACTGTTAGCAAAACAAAGGGAACTAGCCCTGGGGGGCGACCAATACCCTTTGTCCCACCTACTTAGTCCTGCAAGTTTGAAGGCAGTTGGGGGGGGGGTCTCTCAGTCAAACCCAGAATTAAAGGCGTGCACCACCACCGCCCAATCTGTGAAACCCTGTCTTAAGACAAATAAGCACAAACCTATTATCCCAGCACTCGACAGAGGCAGGTGGATCTCTGAGTTCTACCTCAGGCAGGGGAAATACCTTAGTGCTTAGGGCCCCTGTTAGGGCAACGTTCAGTGTGAGCTTGGAGGCTGCCTCCAACTCCTCCTGGGAGGTGGAGCCAGACTCCCCACAGCAAGTTGGCAAGCACAATTAGAAAAATCAGCCTCTTCTGGATTTGACTGAGAGACCCTGCCTAAAGCAGTTTTGGTGGCACACGCCTTTAATCCCAGCACTTGAGAGGCAGAAGCAGGTAGATCTCGAGTTCCAAGTCAGCCCGGTCTACAGAATGAGTTCCAAGAAACCACGTCACAAAAAAAAAAAAAAAAATCTACAATTAACATAAAAGGAGCAGGTAACTGTAGGAAACAAGAACAAAAACACTTGTGTAAAGAACAAGCAGGGAGCCGGGCACGCCTTTAATCCCAGCACTCGGGAGGCAGAGGCAGGCGGATCTCTGTGAGTTCGAGACCAGCCTGGTCTATAAGAGCTAGTTCCAGGACAGGCACCAAAAACTTCAGAGAAACCCTGCCTCTGAAGAAAAAAAGAACAAGCAGGGATGGGAGATGCCAGCCTGGGTACAGTGACAGTATGACAGGGGACCATGGTGTGGTTGTCATGGAGTCCATGGAAATGGGCCTGCACCCCAAGCCCTGCCTAACTACGCTGTGACAGGGTCTTTCCTGGGTATTTAATCACTTTATCTACAGGGTGTGTGTGCAGGGTGTGTGTGCACGCCTGTTAGTGCACAGGAATGCTGGCCCTGGGGCCACATCACCTGGAGCTGAAGACGCTGTACACACCTGCTGGCCAGAAGAGGGCACCAGATCTCATTACATATGGTTGTGATCTGCCATGTGGTTGCTGGGAATTGAACTCTGGACTTCTGGAAGAACAGCCAGTTCTCTTAACCACTGAGTCATCTCTCCAGCCTCCCCCTCCCCCCCTTCAGCCACAGACAGATTGTTATTTGAGACAGGGTTTCTCTGCGTAGCCCTGGCTGTCCTGGAACTCTCGCTCTGTAGATCTCGAACTTACAGATCCACCTGCCACTGCTGGTAGTCAAGGCCTGCACCAAGACCACCTGCCACTTAGCTTAATCTTTATCTTGTATGTGTGAGTGTTCTGTCGCATGGACATCTCCGCACCACCTGTGTGTGGTACCCACAGGACCCAAAAGGCACAAGATCCCCCCCCTGGAGGAAGTTACGGATGGTTGTGAGCTAACTATGTGCATGCTGAGGATTGAACCTGGGTCCCTCTACAAGAGGGACAACTGCTTTTAACTGAGGAACTTCTTTCTAGAACTCACAGGAATCCACCTGTCCCTGCTGGGATTAAAGGTGTGTACCACCACTGCCCAGCCCCAAGGAACCTCCTATATAGCACTATCTAGTTCCTTTGAGACAGGGTCTCACACAGTGTGGACCAGGTTGGCTTTGAATGGAATTCAGACATCTGCCTGCCTCTGCCTCCCAGGTGCTGGGATTAAAGGCGTGCACCACCGCCACCCGGCTTCATTTTTTTTAAATAATTTATATTATTATGTATACAATATTCTGTCTGTGCGTGTATGCCTGCAGGCCAGAAGAGGGCACCAGACCTCATTACAGATGGTTGTGAGCCACCATGTGGTTGCTGGGAATTGAACTCAGGACCTTTGGAAGAGCAGGCAATGCTCTTAACCTCTGAGCCATCTCTCCAGCCCCCCCCCCCCCCCCCCACCCAACTTTTTTTTTTTAAAAGGTGTACTTAAGGGTAGAGATAGCCCAGCGGATAGCACCTGGTGCACTTCTAGAGGACCTGGGTTCAATTCTCACCACTCACACGGAGGCTCTCAGCCGTCTCTAACTCCAATCCCAGGCCACTGTGGGACTGTATGCACTGTATGCAGAGGGCAGACTGACACCCACACACATTAAGGGTAGATAAACTTAGGGCCAGTAAAAAGGTTCAAAGAGTAATGCACTTCTCACAGATGAAGAACCCAGCGAGCTCTGACATGCCCTCTGACCTCCACAAGCACACCTTGGTACAAGCCCCTCCCCACACCAAAATAAATTGTGGTGGATGTCACATCAAGGCCAAAAATGGGACTCCAAGTAACCAACCCTGTCTCCTGCATTCTGCGCTTACCTTTAATGGGGCAGGTCCTGCCAACTGGTACTCACAGGCCCTCCAAAGTGCACAGAGGACAGAGGGAAACAAGCCAGAGTTACAGACACAGCAGACACCATTCAAGTTCTGATCCAAACACGCTGCTTTATTCAAACTGGGTCAAACTGGTCAATGGGAACCTGAGCCCGGCTGAGGGACCTCCAGCAAGGCCATGCCTGCCACCGTGTGGGGCTCAGGCCACCTGTGACGTCAGCACTGCCACCTGGGCCAGGAGCCCCGTGGCACCTACAGCCACACAAGCCGCTCAAAGCAAGGAATGAACAAAAAACCAAATGCACGCAGTAGTCTATGCCCGTGCCCCAGCCCGCGCCGGCGGGAGCTAGGGCCCCCACTTCCCACACCCGAACTCTGCTTTAAATTAAAAAATAAGCCAGTATACATCGTAGAAAATTTCTCTTAAAAATCTCACAATTTGTAAATGTATATTTTTTCTTTAACATAAAAGTTTACAATATACGGTAAAACAAAAGGCTCAGGAAAATAATCTCAAAAAGGAAAAAAGAAAGAAAAAAAAGAAAAAGAAACCTGAAATTCTGAATTAAAGCTGAAGGCGTTTTTTAAACCCTGTTGTTGAACCAGTGACGTGTTTTTATTGTGCTGATGGGTCAGAGAAAAGAAATATATTTAAAACCTCAGTCCAGATGCGGCCTTTGCAGCTCCCCCTCCCCCCCCAGGTCGAGTGGTCGTTTATTTTGCTCCGAGTGTGTGATTGTCACGAGTTCACCAGTTCTGGATCCTGCACTAGCGCCGGTAGGGGTGGAAGCCCTGCACGTTGTGGTTCTGCCCGCGTCCGAAGCCGCTGCCACCAGCAGGGGGACCCCCTGAGCCTGGCACCGAGGGGCCCCCATAGGAGGGTGGCTGCTGGCTGGGATCCGAGAAGCCCTGGCCGAAGCCACTCAAGTCCTGCCCGTAACCTGCTGGGAGAGAGGCTGCTTAGCCTAGGATCAGGGGACAGAGACCCACCCCATGCTTCTTCCAGAGCATCCATCCCTGTCTCAAGGAGAGGGGGGCTGGATGTTCAATCCTGGGGTCTGAGGGTGGCCTATCACCCAG